AAATTAAATTAAAATTATAAATACAATAAAAAGGAGCCCAGAGACATTCTTCATCCTGAAACTGCGGTAATCTAGACATGCCACATATTTTAGACTTGCACTGGCACTATAGGGTATATATGTTTCAGGGTCTGTATGACAGTGAGTGAGTGAATGAGTTTAGTTTTACGCAGCACTCATTATTCCAGCTATATGACGGCGGTCTGTAAATAATCGAGTCTGGACCAGACAATCCAGTGATCAACATTACGAGCATCGATCTGCGCAATTGGGAACCGATGACATGTGTCAACCAAGTCAGCGAACCTGACCACCCGATCCCGTTAGTCGCCTCTTACGACAAGTATAGTCGCCTTTTGTGGCAAGCATGGGTTGTTGAAGACCTATTCTACCCCGGATCTTCACGGGTCTCTGTATGACAGACTACACCCAACCAAGGCTAGCTATACGATCACGGTCGTAGAAATTCAAGCCTGGTCTAGACAATCCTGTGATTCATATTATTCATCTGCAGCTCAAGGGTTTCTTTGAGTGTTTGTTTGTTTGTTTACTGTTTAACGGCACATTCAGAAATATTCCAGCTGAATATTTGAATATTCCGGCGGTCTGTAAACAGAGTCTCGATGGCTGCAAGTCAGCGAGCGTGACCACCCGATCTCGTTAATCGCCTCTTCTACCACAACTGTGAAAACCGCCTCCACGTCGTTGTGACAATAACACACAGTCAGCCAAGTCACCGAGCATGGCCACCCGAACAGGCACAGTGTGATCTGTTTGAGTGACATTTTAGTAGTGTTTAGTCTTACGCCGCTTTATAGTATGGTTTTACGCTATATTTAGCAGTATTCCAGCAATATCACGGTGGGGGGCACCTGAAATGGGCGTCACACATTGTACCCATGTGGGGAATCGAACCCGGCTCTTCGACGTGACGAGCGAACGCCTTAACCACTAGGCTACCTCACCGCCCCCAATACTAAAGAAAGCAACGTCAAACTCATAACTTAAGAAACTATGGCTGTGTACAGCACTAAATTCATGAATGTTTTTGGGATGGTCAGTATTGTTTACTGTGGTTGAGCTTGACATGGCAGTACTTTTGGCAACTCAAACCGAGAAACAAGAGATGAGCATGAGACTGCGACACACACACACACACGCGCACGTGCACACACACACGTACACGTGTAGCGCCCTTAAACCTGCAGTATTGGCCTGTCAGGGGCACAACAGACATGTGCTACATTGCCTTGTCTTCCTGTGTTTACACTGGTATAACATAGTTCACGTAACACTATCGGTTTCGCCACTGGGGAGGTACCGTACTTCACCTTTTAACTACCACCCTCAATACCAGACGTTTTTCATTCATTTTTTCGTTCGTTCGTTCATTCATTCATTTGGTGAGTGGGTGAGTCTAGTTTTACGCCGCACTCAGCAATATTCTGTAATTCATGGTCTGTAAATAATCCAGTCTGGACCATACAATCCAGTGATCAACAGCATGAGCATCGATCTACGCAATTGGAAACCGATGACATATGTCAACCAAGTCAGGAGCATAGGCGGCGGATGGGGTGTGTGTGTGTGTTATTATTGCGCACCTCTCCCCTTTGTCCTGAAAGCTTATTAAATGACCATTGAAACTCGGGTGAAAATGAAGTGTGCACCCCTCCTTTTCTCGATAGTGTGCACCCCCCTTTCTCAAAAAGCTGTATCCGCCCCTGGGGAGCCACACCAACCGATCCCGTTAGTCGCCTCTTACACTGTGGGTCCTGCCTGTTTGCCATAGCTCAGTTTTAGGCTCTGTCACAGTGTCGATACTGAAGCCGATATCATTTTGTAAATGAGGATTATTGGATTTGTGAGGGGGGTATATTTTTACGCTGGAATGTAGCACAAATTCACTACTATGTTCGCAGGGCAATACTGAAATGAGTTCAAACACCACTCATCTTGGAAATCGAACCAAGCCTTCAGCGTGAATGTTTCTTTGCCTATTGGCCTACCTATTAGCGCCGTCTACTACTTGACCCTGTTTGTATTCGACAAATGTGGCGTTAATTAGAGGAATGTCAATTTGGTACCTAGAATTCACACTGTATGTCACTTTGACATGACAAGGAGAAATTTAGAGATTATTATTCCTACCGCGATAAAAAGCATGTAACAGCCAGGGAATAAAGCGGAGCCCCGCTTATCCAGACCCCCAAATATCCGGAAACTTTGCCTGCCAAACAACGTTTGGGAGTTTCTTCATTATTTACTTACTTGATAACGGTGTTGGCAGCTACACAGAAATGTCGCATATATTGCAGTAAAGAAGTTATCAATCCATCTTCAGTGAGCGAGTGGATTTAGTTTTACGCCGCAGCAATATTCCAGTTAATGTATATGGCGGGGGTCTGTAAATAATCTAGTCTGAACCAGACAATCCAGTGATCAACAGCATGGAGATCCGGGTTAGAATTGGTCTTCAGCAACCCATGCTTGTCTTTAGGGGCAACTAATGGGATCGGGTGGTCAGGCTTGCTGACTTAGTTAACACATGTCATCGTATCTCAATTGCGTAGATCGATGGTCATGCTTTCGATCACTGGATTTTGTGGCCCAGAGTCGATAACTTACAGACTGCCACCATATAGCTGGAATATAACCTTAGGACTAATATTGTAGCTGTGTGTGAAAATGGTTGACACTTTGTATCCATTTGACAGCTTTTTAGTTGTTATTAATACATCACTAAATAGTGTTTTAATGTTTTGTTTACCAATGTATTAAAAGACGTGAGGTGGGGAAAAAAGTTTATCGCAGTCAAAGTATATATCAGCAACATTATTTCACACAGTTTATAGATTTCTTTTTCACACGTTTGAACAGCAGTAGAGGCGTTTCGTCACTTGTAGGGTGGTTTCATGCGCTCACACACAGCGATACAGTTTTTGGAAATATTGTTTAAAGTGGCAAAACATCGTTCCAAGTAAGACACATGAAAAGTTCTTTGTAATTTAAATATATCATTTATTTTCTTATAAATTGATGGGCGTTTGGTGATGCGTTTGCTTGTCACGCCGAATGTCTGGGTTCAATTCTAGACATTGGTTTTATTACAATTATAAACTGACAGTATTTAACTTAAGCCAAACCCATGCCTGTGATATTGTTTGAACACTCTTGAAATCTAAATCAGCGTAAGTCCATACTCACACTCTTGTAAGTGAATACGTGTGATTGTCCATGATCAATGATCAATAATATTTATGAAAAAAGACCTTGGGATAAACTGAGCACTGCACCCCATGGTACTCGTTAGTTTTGAAGCTCTGATATAAAACTGTATAACATTTCGTAAAGAGCTCAGACAGGTTTATCGTGAACCCTCTTCGGTCGTCGAGTACCACCTGTGTTCTTTCAGCCACCCATTGTTTTCTACCTTGGAAGCGGCGCTTTTGATCTCCAGGACAGCCATGTTACCTGTCAACACCTTAGCTTACATAATGGTTTATGGCAGGTGGCTATACTCACCTTGCTGATCCAGGAACACGGGAGGCCCGGTGTTCTAACGTGCCACGGTTCGCTGTACGGGGTTGCGTCCCTTGGGCCTGCAGGAGATCAACGATTGTGTGTTCGAATTCTACATTTGCCATCAATATGTTTTATTGTTAGTCAGCAACATACCTGTGTGTTCCTGGGTTTCAATAAATTGGTAAATGTCTGAGACTTTAACTAAAAGCTGACGCGCCGTGATTTATTTCTTTTTCCTTTTTTAACTCAGCAACCATAAATATTTTAGCTCTATAAAGCGTCGGCCTGTAAATAATGGAGTTTAGACCGGACAATCCAGTGATGATAACATGACCATCGATCTCAGCAAATAGTCAGCGAGCATCAACATCCGTTCCCATTAACTGGTGCTTCTCACAACAAGCAGAAATGGCTGAAGATCAGATCAGACCGGGATCTTCGCCATGTAATATGACGAAAATAGTTATCAAAAGGGAGTCGAAACAAATATATTCTCTCCCAAATACTAAAATTTTAAGCTCGTTTTAAGTATAGTAATTTCCAACCAACAATATTCATGTATTGAAAATTGAAACAGTATACGGATTTTCTGCATTAATCTGACATGATTATATGAATTTTAAATTTTTAAATATATTTATCTATTATTACATATGATATTACACATTTCACCCTGATTCATTGTTCATGATTATTATTGTCGTTGCTGTTATTGACGTATTATTGCCACTGTTAATTTTATTATTTATCGTATTGGTTCAAAACATTTGACTTGAAAGTGGAATCTGTCAAATCTGTCAGATCTGTCAATCTGTGATACCTTCATTCTCTGGGACAAAACAAAATGGTCGTAGTTGTTACCGGTGTTGTTGATAAACATCATTACTGTTTTTATTTTTTGTGTAAAAATAATTTGATCTCGTCCCAGATAAGTCCAGCCTCCCACATTGATAGATAGAAATATTTTATCATCATCAGCAGCAGCAGCAGCAACGTGTCGACAGAATGAGGATCCCCGATCTGTTGCTAAATTAAGATGTTCTAACGAGGCTGGCAATCATTTATTCATTTCAAGATCCCAATCAAACAAAATATAAACTGATATTTAATAATCAGATTCAAATCTTTCAAAGCATCTTCATTCAACACAAACTATAGAACCTCGTATTCCCATAAATCACCTGACGCGACGAATAAAAATGAATTTTTTAAACGCTCACAATTTACATTAATTATTAATAGAAGTTAGCGATCATACCACCGTTTACTTTAGATATGTCGTTGGATATTGATTCATTAAGTTTTTAAATGGTTTGAGTCTTTTTTTAAAAAATGACGAGGTAAGCAGTTTACTAATGAGAGTAATCTTACTCAGCATCCAGAAATAGTACGCGGTCGGGCCTGTCCGGGAATTAAGCAAATCGGAGTACGCATGCGGACTAGGTCTTATGGCAACCACACAAACAATAGTAAATTTAGACCGCTGCACGTGTAGGAAGGTCTGCTACACGATAATGGGATACATGGATACTTACTGAAGATGAACACATCGGAATACTACGGGATATAAACATGTAAGAAAAAACATAAACGTCCGTTAACGCGCCTCGAAGTCATCAAGCCTCTGCCTGTCAACGATTGTCACCGGATTGTCGCTAACTGGTGACCTAAATTCAGGTAAATCGTTCAGCCACTGTTTACCATGGAAACGGCGTTATTATTGCACTGTGCGGTGAATGATTCTCATGGTATAACTCTGTTATAAGAAATATGACTTGTCTTACATGCGCATGTGTCACTTAAAGTTTGATTAACACAGGAAGACAATTCACAGGTGCGTGTCCATTCATAAATCTACCGGGGCTTTGAACCAAAGAGAATAGTTTATAATTATTGATTCTTTACGGAATGTGTCGTTAGTTTTGACTGTAAGTGCACATAGTCTTTGTTTTATTTGTTTGTGTTTGTTTACCAGCTTCTACTGTTACCAGGCTGCGATTATACTCATATGAATTTCCTATTATCAATTCCAAACAGAATCAAAGCATATTTGAATAATCGTTCGAATTATCATAAAAATAACATTTGTCACCGCGGTAGCTTGTTTGGCAACATTGTTTAAAAAATATGATACTGATTGTTGTTTTTGTTATTTCCCACCTGGTCTGAGCAAATATTGCACAAAGGTAAATTAACCCACTCCAGTTAATTCCATTTTGTTCATTAATACAGTTTGCAGTAGCAATTCATTGTATCAGGATACACTATCCCCGGTGTTCATCTGTAAGGTGTTGAAAACAGTGTGTTCACCTGTTAGGTGTTATAAACAGGGAAATAAACAATGCTCTTTGTTGTCATATACGATATATGCTATGATCGTTAGACTTCAGGTAACAAACCATATTCCTGTTGCAGCAGAAATTGATTGTCATATAATGAATCAAGATAATGCATTAAAATTGAAACAATTTTTTTCGAAGCAGTCATGATTGTTTCTCTTACAGATTTCTTTGACAAAATGTTATTACAATTTTACTAACTGTAGATAAATTTGTGTGATGAGTTTCTTTTGGTATTGGTCACAGGATATTGTCACATATCATCAAAAATTGTAATCAAAATTACAAAACAATTTATAAATTTTGCTCAAGCTATGTATACTACTCACACTTTGCTAAGGATCACAACTTAATATACATAATTTGAAATTTTATCCATTTAAAACTGGATAAATAATAATATGTTAACCCTCTTTTAGAAGGCAAACAGTCACTTTAATCTAACCTTATGCACTTGAGTAACCATAAAACGGGTTTTCATGGCACCAATCAACCATTTTGCAAATCATGGAATGCGTCATTGACAAGTACACAACACCTGTCAATAGCAGGTATGGGTTCCACAAGATAAAATGACATACTGAAACCTAGGATCCATGCTAACAATAAGCTTAGATATTTAAATCAAATTTGATCCCACATCATATTTTTCTGTTGAATCCATGTTTTGATCCTTAGCAAAGTGTGAATAGTATATGTAATATCTACTTAGAGTGAGTGAGTTTTAGTTTTACACCGTTTTTAACAATATTCCAGCAATATTCCAGCAGGGGACACCAGAAATGGGCTTCACACATTGTACCCATGTAGGGAATCAAACCCAGGTCTTCAGCGTGACAAGCTAACGCTTTAACCACTGGGCTACCCCACCGCCCCTCATCTACTTAGAGACTTACTGCATGCAGGGACTGAAATGTTGTATCATGCAGTGTGCCACAGGCTTCCATATAGATATTTAGGTACTGTCCACTTTGGAATGATGATCGAAGGATGCCAACAAGAAAATTACTTAGTGAACCATCTTCAGTGTGAATGTCTTTTCACCATACGCTAAGTGATTAATCTAACATTTATCCGCCTTAATTAAATTAGTTTCTCTGCTGTGTTATTTCAGGCATTAGGATCTTATGTTAATGCAGCATCATCACAGTTCTAACAGTCACTCCCTCGCAGTACAGACTGCTGGCGTCACTCGGCGCCAAACAGTCACATTCAGATAACACATGTCATAATGGGACATACTTGGGGAAAGGAGAGATGATGTTTTCTCAAAGCTAAGATTAAGATACTTTTCTGCAGCTCTTGTGTTTGTTATTGAACATGGCACTCAGCAATCTTCAAGCTATATGAGGCAGTCTGAAAATATTTAATTGCTGGACCAGACAACTTCATTGAATGGCATATTAGAAGTTAGGAAGTACAATATAGACAGACTTTAAGGATACCAACTTGTCAATTTCATGATGTCAGTCACTGGATTGTCTGGTCCAATATAGACAAACTCTATGGGTAACAACTTCTTTTTTCGTGTGAGCAACATTGCTTGATGACGGTATGAGAACCTGTACTGAAACGTCACACGCACAAAGAAGTTGTTAAGAAGTGATTAAGGGCTAAATCTTAATATCTGTAGTGATTTCTTTTTCTGATTAACCTGACTCATATTTAACAGATTTGACCCTCACACTTATTTGGAATTAAGATGTTTAACAATGTAATTAACAATTGCTTCAAAGGTTATTTAATATTAATCTGAAAAGATTACTATTTGTAACCTTGATATCTATTTTGTTTCTTGTTCCACCTGACTCTTGCACCTGTGAAGATGCGGGTTAGAATTGATCTTCAGTAAACCATGCTTGTTGTAAGAGGTGACTAATGGGATCGGATGGTCAGGCTAGCTGACTTGGTTGACACATGTCATTATATCCCAATGCGTAGATCGATGCTCATGCGCTTGATCACCGGATTGTCTGGTCCAGACTTGATTATTTACAGACCGCCGCCATATAGCTGGAATATTGCTGAGTGCGGCGTTAAACAACAACCAATAAAATCCAGACTATCGACTAAATAACTCCATAAGACAAGAGATGAGTTTAGTTTTGATTTAATAGTTTCTGACTTCTAACTCCAGTTAAGTTGGGGAACAATTATTCAATTTGCTTAACATGATGTAACTTCGTTCAAACATTTCTGTTTTCTTCAATATAATGTTTTTTTAATAATGAATACTTGAATATTGATACTCCATTAGTTACAGACTGCTGCCATATAGCTGGAATATTGCCGAGTGAGGCATAAAAATAAAGTAAGTCACTCACTCACTTGATTTTAAACATATTTACAGTGTTTTAATTTGTTTATCTTCAGAAGACAATGGATCATACAGGTGGGTCATACATGCAACAGCCGTTCACCAGCTCGGAGGCTGTTCGCCGCTGCTTCCATGTTCCACATGCACCTCTGTCTAGTCAAGTCAACGCCAAAGTGCCACGCCCACCCTATGGTCAAGGGAGGCCCACATCAGGTATGTGGTCAGCTGTTGTCAAGGAGACTAGCATTACCAGACATGATAATCAAGCGTCTTGATAACAAAATTCAATTAAATGTTAATTGTTATTTTTACTTACAAAGTCTGTACTTATTTATTCGACTAGCATTACTACAGACGATAAGTGGGTGTCTTGAAACAACACAATTCAATTAAACTTGAACTGGGTTTTTTAATTTACCTAGTCTGTTCTGTACTTGTTTAGCATATGAAAGCAATACTTTTCAAGTCTTCGAAGAGAGAAGAGGTTTAAAGGTGGTTTTACAAAGGCAGCATGTCTGCCAACTTGTGTTTCACACAACAAACATGTGTTTTAGTTGAAAAATATTCAAAAACAATTGTACTTATCTGGCAAAGACAATCCAGCATAGGCAACACGACCAACATGGTCAAGCAGGCATCTTTTAAATAGTTTTATTACACCACAACAACAAAAGACAAAAACCTGTGCAATTACATGTCCACGGTACATCCGTCCCCTGTTATCCGGGCAAAACCACCAATTAGAAATTACGGTAAAACTTCTTAAAGCAGCCTTCACATGGCAAACTAAGACAATGCATGTTGTCAACCTTGAGTTTGAGAGTGTGAACATGCCAGCAACTCGCCACCAACACCAATTTCAGAGTTGTCAAACTGTTGTCGAGAAATAGGATCGGTCTCTATTCTCACCAACTTTTCCATCAAACTTTCGGTGTTGTCAAACTCGAGTTTGACGTGTGAAGTGTTGTCAAACTAATGTTATTCAGTAACAACCAATTGCAGTTAACGAAATTGTCACGTGAGCGCACCGATAGAGACATGGCGCTCAAATGACATGAAAGTTTGACAACATGTGTTTGACGTGTAAAAATTGATATTTGACAACTTTTAAAATTTCAATAACATGTGTTGTTGTGTGAAGGCCGGTTAACATTTTAACTTAACATTAGTTTCTCTACTCTTTTCTAAAATGCAGATACAATTTTGTAGCAAACAAAACCCATGTAAATACTTCGGGTTATCTGGGATTCGACACAGCTGCAAATGATGACTAAAGGAGTATATGATTCAACAACACAAGGATGTGTTATTGCATCCTCTCTCGTAGGAAAACCTCCCTCCTGATAGATGTATCATGATATTGTTTTCTGGGGGTTTTCTATGTTAAAGTTGAGATACAGAGCAACAGTTTTAGCTTGACTTTCCAATTCGATCCATGTCCGCCAAACACTGGAGGATGTTTCCCTACAACTAATCTACTTAATGGAAGACCTGCCACTCTGAGATGATTTTGAGTAATTGACAAGCATGTTTTTGCGCAGGTAGATTATGTCAGATCAATTGTGTTCGAGCAGCAACTTCACCGCGAACACATTGATTTACATGTAATACAGCAGTCCGGCAGTAATCGATAGCTGCAGACGGCAAATACAAAAAGAATGAGGTTAAATTTGTTTTCATGGAATGTAAACATATCCTCTGTTTTTCTACACTCGAAAGTCAGATTTGTGGAGATAATGCAATTATTACATTGAGTTTGTTGTTTGGATATGCTTTTTATAATGAACTTAGCAAATATATGATGTTGAGAATTGCTGACATTGACAACTTCCTGGTAACTGGGTGTAGCCTTGTGGTTAAAGCATCCACTTGTCATGTAAAAGACAAGGGTTAGATTCTCCACATGGGTACAATGTGTGAACCCCGTTTCTGGTGTCCCCGGCCATGATATTGCTGAAATATTGCTTAAAGCGGCGTAAAACCATATTTATTTATTCAGCATAATAATATTAATTTACTTGGGTCTTTTTTTAATCCAGACTTTGAAATCCTTCAATATTCTTTTTCTAAAAAAAAGTTATGTTGACATGAATAAGTAAACACTATTTTGTGTTATGGATACATCTTTCATTCCTAATACACTCTCATGTTTCAAGAACTAAATCAACTTTTATGTTTTGTGGCCCTACAAGTCATCGAGCATTGGATATTATGGGGTGGTGTTTTGCACTGGGAGTGTTTTGGATAATTATTTTGCCTTTCCCCAGAAATGTTCTTTAGGATTGTTGAACATGCTGGATGTCTCTTTGTTTTAACTTACCCGTGAAGATCCGGGTTAGAATGAAATTTCAGTAACCCATGCTTGTTGTATGAGGCTTAATAACGGGATTGGGTGGCAGGTAACTTTAAAATTCACTGTACTTGGTTGAGTGTCACATATCATCCCTGATTCCCTAGTTTTCTTGTTGATTTTTTAAATAAACAACATATCAAGGGTCATGCTGTTGATCACTGTCATATTGTCTGGTCCCAGACTGGGGCGTTGATTATTTATCCCTGGAGGCTCACTGGCTTGGTTGACCATATAGGTTCTGGAATACTTGCTGAGTGCGGCGTAAAACTTAACTCACTCACTCACTCACTTTGTTTTAAATTACTTACCTTATATAAAATCATTATATAAAATCATAATAGATTAATCATTACATTTTAATTGAAGTAATATGCAGTTTTATTTGTACAACTGTTTTATTTTTAAAACAAGCAGTTTCACATTTTCAAGGCATTTATTTATATGTGATAGGACTACATTCAAAAATTAATATATTTTACAAAAATCAAACCTACAGTTCTTAAATTGTGTTAATAAAATATCTTTAAAAAAGATCCAAAAGACTTTTTCAATTTCAGAGACCCCGAAACCTCAATAATCTAGACTATTAACGACTTGCATGGCCTTTTATTGGATATACTTCTATGGGTCTGTATGACAGACTACGTGGGAAAATACATCATGGCGAGTTGTTGGATAGTGACAGGGATATGCTCCTATAATTGATTCCTTATGGCAACAATACACCCTTATAGGTTGATTTGTTATGACAAGAAAAGAGCATCAATACTGTTTTTGGTAATCCTGGTAAAAGCTTTCTTTACCGTGTTTGGATGAAGGCTGGAAATAGATTCTCATTATAAACATTTGTCTTGGTAATACGTCAGGTTCTACATATACACTGTCTCGTATCTATTAGCGTTTCCATGGCAACCATGACAACAATGTGAGTTAATATTCTCAATCGGGGAAATACCTGCTCAATTGAAAGGATTAACAATGATTAAGCAGCCAATAATTCATCCTGGTTGTGAATGCTGATTAGTGTATTTTGAAATCTAATAAAATACTGAAATAATAACTGAAAAAAATGAAGAAAAAAGGGAACCTCTCCTAGATCTCAAAACCAATATGTCTTGTCTCCATTCCCAAAGTTCACCTTTCTTCCTTTGGCATGAGGTCTTTCCAGTAATCTATCTATTCTGTGGAATTCTCTCCCTCTCCATACAAAGCAGTCTCCCACATTGGAAACTTTCAAAATTCAGTTGAAAAGCTTCTTTTTCTCAAAAGCCTATTCCTAAAATCAATCTTTTTGTCATCAGTTTCAATATATACTTATTTTACTATTTTATCCTTTTGTATGTACGCGCCTTTATGTAGCGCCTTGAGCATGTAGTAGTGGGGAAATAATAGCGTGCTAAAATGTCCGTTATTATTATTATCATTATTAACATAGTGAATGTGCTGTTTTATTTATTGGCAGAATTCTAATTTGAAAGAAATACATTGTATTTTGCTGTAAATTTTGTTAGTTTATTTTTACTGGAATTGTATTAAGTCATCACTGAAATATTTAAAAAACTGTCTTAGCATAATGTGTGAGTGAGTGAGTTAAAATTTTACTTCACATAGATCTTGGCATATTGAACAAGCAAATATGTTCGTCTGTCCTTATCATGACTGCCACAGTCTTACTTAATCAGAATTCCTATTTATGTATGTACACTAATGGACAACATGGACGGAGACCAGTTTGACAGTCTGTTCCAGAAGCATCTCTTACAAAAGAGCTGTTCATGTTGAGCAGCTCCGTCAGCTAATCCAGCAGTACAGTGGATGACACTGGATGGAGACCAGAGTCTCGATCCACAAAGCATTCATAACGTTACAACATGCCGTAACTCTGTAGTTTATGAATGTCCTAGCGCGCTACAAACGTTTCGTAGTCTGTTCCGGAAGCATCCCCAACAAAGAACTGTTCATGTTGAGCACCTCCATCAGCTAGCGATGACCACCGTCGCCTGATGAAGCAATTTGTTGGGGATTTATTTCCAGCCGGGAGACGGATCAGATCAATAATTAAGACCGCAGATCACCTGAGCATTCGCCCAAGTGCATAAGAAGGATACCGGACAGCTCTTTAACAGCTGCAGGGATGTAAACACTAGCACTGGTCAAGCTTGAACATGCTAACAGCTGGGGGTCTGTTATTGTCATTCAGCTTGACCAGTTCGTTTTATTGTCTGATGGATTTTCTTGATCTGGAGGAGATGAGTCGCCAATATTTAAAGATTGTAACTTTTTAAGGATAATTTTAGGTTCATTTTGTTTATGGAAGAATAAAGAACAAAGTTAAATATCAGCATATTATCAAGAAAGCATTTAAAAGATTGTTTCTTACAATACCCCACTACTTTAGATGGATGGTGTAATGAGTCCATACATAACAATATCAGGCAACAATTTAAACACAGGGTTCCGCCCGTAACCCCCATACTTGTTTTTAATCATTCTATGCCTAAAAATATAGGCCTATGTTTTTTTATAAAAAGCCTATGCCTAACCCTAAACCCTAAACCTGACCTAAAACCTAACCCCAAATCTAACCCTAAACCCTCGAAATAATCCTAATAAATAGAATACATTTCAAAGAGGGGGTTACGGGTGGAGCTCTTACCTAACTATATTTTACATGTGGTTCAATATTAAGGAGCAAGTGTCAGTGAAAAACAATTAAAATGTTTTCCTGATAAAATCATCTTTCATGTCCCAACAAGATCCACTGAATATCATCACATCACATAAATCCATCTGAAGGACATTTGAGGCACAAAGCACTTCCTTCACATAATGCCAACATGGCATATTCAGTTTAAGTTTCATTCACTGGCATCATGGAGTAGTATACATAATGGGGGTTTTGCCGCAAATTCTTCTGAGAGGTTTATTTGTGGTTAATTGATGGGTTAAAAAAGTATTGTTTTTTTATCTATGGAGCATCATTGTTGAGCAGAATTTTTATTTTTTTGGTTTTTATCTTAATACAAAGTTCTATGTCCATAAGCATAAGTTGTGACACCATCCCTGGCGATCCATCGTTTGGTATCCATGGGCTGACTGACTGACTGACTGAGTTTAGTTTTACGCCGCTTTTAGCAATATTCCAGCAATATCACGGCGGGGGACACCAGAAATGGGCTTAACACATGGTGCCCATGTGGGGAATCGAACCCGGGTCTTCGGCGTGACGGGTATCCATGGGTGATGGGGATGTTTTGTTGCAGGTTATCCCATAGATTTTATGTTTGTCGCTTCTGAGTGCATTCATCTGATGTTTGAATGTTTTTTTCTTGAAGAGAGCTTGTTTTGAATAGGATGTGTTTGATTTGTTGTCTGACAACATGTTTTTATACCCCTTTGGCTCTTTTGATTTCACCGTGATCGGCTTTTTTAATCGAATACATTTTAGGTCTCAAACCGATGTACTCCCACATACATCCCATCATAACCACTCCCGACATGGGAACTGAACACTTTAGCTTGAAAAAGACACAAGGACAAGCAGCTATTAGGTAGCTCCCATTTGTTGTCAGCTTACCATAGCTTAAACATAAACAATGGAGACTTGTGTTACTGTTAAACTAAGGGCTACTGTCCAACCAACATTAGAATGAGGTGCGCGAAAGACGCGTTTGTGAAAGGAGAGGGGGGAGCGTGCCGTGAACTGATCCACTACCCACTCGAAGGGGGAACAGGTGTGAACGTGCACGTGGTTTTTGTGATCCTTGCAGTAATCACTTTCTACGCAATGATTCGGAAGCGTTGTGTTTCTGCTCGAGCATTTGTATACTAGTATCTTGTAAAGTGGACTGTTAAAAGAGTATTAAACTCTGCAGGTATTTGAAGCTTATCATGTTGCACTCTAAATTGGGTAAACGGGGTAAAGTCATTCATTCACAAACACGTGAGGTTGCCTACAATGTCATTCAGTACATGTGTACTATTTCCGACAGCACACACAGTGCACTCAAAAAAGCCAGCGATGCTACTGGTATATCTGTCAGTACCTTGCGCAAAATAAATGACGAAGGTAAATGCGTTCCCGCGATGGGTACCAGTAAGTTCACAAGCCCAGGGAAAGTGCGTACTCATACTGAAGGGAAAATTAAATTTGATGATTTTGATAAATGCGCAATTCGCCAGTACATTCAACACTGCTACACAGTAACCAAGACAATGCCAACACTGACAAGCATTATGAAAATGGCTACTGATGATTTGGGATATACAGGGAGTAAAGAAACAATGCGTAAATGTTTAAGAAAAATTGGTTTCAAATGGCGGGAAACTCATTCAGACAGACAGGTCCTAATGGAGCGAAAAGACATTGTTGCATGGCGTTTGAGATATCTCAAAATGATTTGCCAGTACCGTAAAGAAAACCTCCCAATCGTGTACATCGACGAAACATGGGTACAAGCCCATCACACAGTATCAAAATGTTGGCAAACTGATGAGGGAGCAGTTGGCAGTGTTCGGGTACCATCGGGGGACAGGTCCAAGATTAATTATAGTCCATGCTGGTACATGTGAGGGGTTCATTCCATGACGAAATGAATTTCAATAATTTCTCTAAGTGGTTGCAAGAAAAACTTATTTCTAATCCGCCCCAAAACTCAGTCTAAGCTCCAACAACTGCCAGTCGAAAAGATGAAATCAAATTGTGTCTACAAAGGCATGATATACCTTTTACACATTCAATGTTGAAGGCTGAATTGCTTGCACTTGTGAAATCACGTCCGCGCGGCCCCGTATATCATGTACATGAAATTCTGAAAACCCATGGGCATACTGTTCTCTGATTACCTCCTTATCACGCCGATTTCAATGCCATAGAATTAATTTGGGCGAATTTGAAAAATTGGATTGGGTCCCAGAATTTAGATTTCAAAATGGCTTCTGTACAGAGGGCTTGCGAAGAACGATTGTCATCTATTGGCCATAAGGAATGATCAGACTGTTGCAGACATGTGATGGAAATTGAGGATAGTTACTGGCATTGAGAAATTGCCCTAGAGGATGAAATCGAAAAACTTGTCATCGAACTTGGCGTCGATACTGATGACAGTGATATCAGTGATATCGAAGATGAGTAGCAGACTCAAGAGACTTACATGTAGCAATTAGCAGATAAATTACCACTGAGCAATCAAATTACTAAGCTTTGTTTGTTTTATTTATTAGTACCCCGTTTTGAATTTACATAACGTTATTTCATTCCCTTCGAGGACAGCACAAACGTATTATCCCTAAAATATTCACACACACAGAACCTAGGCTAGGACAGAAATTAACCTTTCGGTATTTTTTTTTTTTTATCGTTAAACACAACTTTTTTTAGTGTTGTATTGGGTTGTGTATGGAAATCGTCAACCGCAAAATAGCAAATAGAACCCGTTCCAGAAGAGCAAGAGTAGACTGACACGCTTCACAGCAGTTTATCGCTTTACATACCCTCAGCTCCTTAATGGTAAAATGGACTGCACCGCTATTCAGATTCACGGGTTCAAATGACAGGTCGGCATTATTCTTAAGTTCGTCTCACAGTAGTGTTAATCACTGACAGTCTCCGCACATGTACTCTGTTGTTTGTTGTTTAATGTTGACTCTGCAATATTCAAGCTATATGGCAGCATACTGTAAATAATCAAGTCTGGACCAGACAATCCAGTGATTAACAGCATGAGCATCGATCTATGCAACTGGGATATGATGACATTCTCCACACATGGAACATAATATTTATATAGGATGCATATATTTTTTAGGAAAGATCAATTCATTTGATATTCTCATAATGGAATATATATAAGAGATACTCAGTATCTTTAGTTGTGAGAGTTGTACTGACTGTTATCAGGCTCTGTCAACAAGGGAAACAATGACAAAGATCTCATACAAATACCTGTCCAATTTCAAACAATTTTGTCATCCTAAGGTATTTATTTTCTGTTTTGTATTTGCTGGGTCATTAAATATTTACAGCCAATCACTGCCTTGAGCATGTACTAGTTGAGTGGATATTTGCGTTATATAAATATCCTCTCCTCTCCTCTCCTCTCCTCTCCTCTCCTCTCCTCTCCTCTCTCTCTCTCCTCTCCTCTCCTCTCTCCTCCCCTCCTCCTCCTCCCTCCTCCTCTCCTCTCCTCTCCTCTCCTGCCCTGCCCCCTGCCCTGCCCTGCCCTGCCCTGCCCTGCCCTGCCTGCCCTGCCCTGCCCTGCCCTGCCCTGCCCTGCCCTGCCCCCTGCCCTGCCCTGCCCTGCCCTGCCCTGCCCTGCCCTGCCCTGCCCTGAATGAGGGCACAGTATTTGATTTAATTTGGAAAAAGATCATTTAAATTTCTGTAAAGGAATTTGTATTTTAAATTGATGTTTTGCCGAACATATTTATGATTCAATGGTGTTAAACATCCAATTATTTTTCTTCAGTAAATAGAAAACAGTATTGATTAACAGATCAACCTTCATGTGTAGCCAACATAATGAAACTATCTTAATGATAATGCTGCACTGTGCAACGTTCGTCTGTATGTTGAAGAATACCAGACTGGAATTGTTTTTATCGATAAACATGTGGCTTCGAATTGCTAAAAATATAATAATGGTTAACATCTGGCTGTAAGGATGGTTGCTATGCAACTGCAATACACAATTAAGAGTGTAAGTAAATTATTTTAGAGATCCTTTGAAGTTCCTTACTTCTGACAATGTCTTCCATCACTTTGTACAGGTTAATGTAGAAATGAACATCCAGGTTCACTAACAACGGCTGACTACCCATGGTTTGACATGACCATACCCTTTGGTTTTCACATTTGAATGTTGAGCAAGGAAAACCATCAGGAATAAATTCTTTTTGTATATTATTGTCAGTGGGGACCTTGTTGGAATTGTGCAGGGATATGATGTTTGTATATTGTTTACACTGCTGTCAGCAATGTTCCAAGTATATGACAGTGATCTGTAAATAATGGAGTCTGGACCAGACCATCCAGTGCATTGATCACCAGATCCAGAGATCGTCAGTAAGGAAATGTGTTTGTTGATAGTATCCATGTTACTGAAGGATGGTGTGTGTTTCAGCTCCAGCTCGGAGGAGTTCGTACACCTACGGGAATGGTGGCTCACACAAAGATGCTGTCTACAGCCGATACACACACGAGACCTCTGTCACAAGGTTCGCTCCCTTTGCAGGTGAGGAGTTGTCTTATGGAGAAAATATGTCTGATTCAATAGGTTGGAAAACTTTGCTGTCCCTTCTGTCAGTCTGTGTACAACCTGGGTGAGTTCCGGAATACCCCATGTTTGTCTCCCTGTGGGGACTCCAGTGCAGGATTGGTCCCCAATGAATCATGCTTGTCTCCGTGCCTATGGGGATTCCAGACAACAACAGTCCAAAGTACCCCATGTTTGTCTCCCTGTGGGGATTCCAGGACAGAATAGGTCCCCAGTACCCCATGCTGTCTCCTTCTGGTGAATCCAGGACAGAATAGGTCCCCAGTACCCCGTGCTGTCTCCTTCTGGTGAATCCAGGACAGAATAGGTCCCCAGTACCCCATGCTGTCCCCTTCTGGTGAATCCAGGACAGAATAGGTCCCCAGTACCCCATGCTGTCCCCTTCTGGTGAATCCAGGACAGAATAGGTCCCCAGTACCCCGTGCTGTCTCCTTCTGGTGAATCCAGGACAGAATAGGTCCCCAGTACCCCGTGCTGTCTCCTTCTGGTGAATCCAGGACAGTCCCCAGAAAGAGTATCATCCATGCCCATATGCACAAAGTAATCTGAGCAGTAATCCACCAATCAGTAGTTGATTAAGGATACTGGTTAAGGTTATTTGGTTAAGATTGTTTTATGCAGGTGAACAGGTGTGATCCCTGAGGACTACCATTGTACTGTGTGTGAGAGATTTTACAAGTCAGCATCTAATTATCAAATATAACAAGAAACTTTATCCATTTTTCAGCCAGGAAGACAGAAGCCTTCATGAACTCCTCCCTAGGGTACCCGGTGCCCGATGGAGGCAAGAGCGGCCCCATCCCAAACTACTCCCCACTGAATGACCCTCACCTCGTGGAGTATTTCGAGAGGAGGTTCGGAACTCTTCAACTTGATGCTCTCCGCAGACAGGTAGGTTTTCTGAAGTAGTAAAAAAATCAGCAAGTCTGCTCAATGTGTCTCGTAAACATTACGTGAAAGGGATTGGTACTTGTTTCATGTCACTTTCAGCTATATTCCAGCAATACCATGGCAGTAGACATCAGAAATAGTCTTCACACATTGTGGCCATGTGGGGAATTGAACCTGGGTCTTCAGTGTGACAAGTGAACACTTTAACCACAAGACTACCCAACATCCCTGCAGAGGTAGTTAATAGGAGTGCTTAGTATTTAATCTTGCAAAAAATTACATACTCTGAATGCTTAAGAAAGGTTTACCATATTTGGTTGAATGTTTCAGAGAAACAGCATCGTTCGCAGCAGCAGCAGCCTTGGTCTTCGCCGTTCTACCACACCACAGAAGGGGGACATCGTGTACAAGGTGTTCGTTACCACAGGGATGGAGAAGGGAGCCAGCACCGATGCCAAGGTGAGACGATGGCTTGTGAGTGAGTTTAGTTTTACGCCACACTCAGCAATATTCCAGCTATATGGCGGCGGTCTGTAAATAATCGAGTCTGGACCAGACAATCCAGTGATCAACAGCATGCGCATCGATCTGCGCAATTGGAACCGATGACATGTGTCAACCAAGTCAGCAAGCCTGACCACCCAATCCTGTTAGTCGCCTCTTACGACAAGCATGGGTTACTGAAGATTCATTCAAGCCCGTACCTTCATGGTTAACGATGGCTTGTATTTTACCACATCAATTGATGGATTTATTTAAAGATAAATATGGTACTTTATGATGTTTTAATCTCATACAAGTACAAGAGACATTCCTCATTTTTCAGGTATATATAAAAATGACTGGCACAAAGGGTAAATTTCCCAAACATCGCCTGACCAAGAAAGCTGGATCTGTCAGGTCTAACAATGCAGTGTCCTTCAACTTCGGTAAGGGCACCACCCACATGTTCAAGATAAAGGGACCAAACATTGGAGATATCAAGTCTATTGTTATGGAGGTAAGTCTATGAAATTATCCGGTGTATCAAAAGTAGGTAGGCAAAAACACTGACTTGTTCTATTTAGTTGACCCCATAGGATTCATGTGTTGTTTTTTAACCTTAGCATGATTTTTGTTTGTTTGTAGTTTAATGCCACACTCAGCAGTATTTTAGCTATATGGCAGCACACTGGACCAGACATTCCAGTGATTAATGTCATGAGCAATGATCTATGCAATTGGGATACGATGACATGTGTCAACCAAGTCAGCGAGCCTGTCCACCCGATCCCTCAATTTGCCTCTTACGACAAGCATGGGTTACTGAAGACCAAATCTAACCTTGATCTTCACGGGTAACTGTGCAAGAGATGACATGAGTTGTTGCTCATGACATCCACCACTGGTTTGTCAGGCCTCGACTGAGTCAGTCACTGACCTCCGTACGTTGTGTACAGGTCTGGATCTTAACATAGAATCTCTTCCGGACATGTACTTAGAATGCACCCTAATCCTTAGATTTGTTAAAGCATCAATGAACATAAGTTGTGCTGATGAAAGCTCTAGCCTGTTTATATATTTTCATGTAAAATTGTGATATATCTTAAAACACAAAGTGGCCTTTTATGCTGTTATTGTGAAATGTTGTAAATGTGAACTAAACCTTTCCTTCCCAGCAATCGGGGACCAGCAGGGAACAGAGCTGGTTTCTGGAGAAAGTGAAAATTTTGAACACAAAGAATAAGAAGCAGTGGGTGTTCCACTGTGGTCAGTGGTTGTCCTACTTCCACACAGATGGCCAAACGTCGCGGCAACTCTTCCCACAGGTTCCCTCCAAAACAGGTAAATTTGTCCTCCATTTGCACTTCTCAAGCTGGTTCTATTTCTGTATCTTTCAGACAGCATTTCATTAACTTTATGTATGTTGTTTTTCATGCTTTGGGGCCAGGTTCGGTTTCAGGGGCGGTGGGGTAGCCTAGTGGTTAAAGCGTTGGCTCATCACGCTGAAGACCCGGGTTCGATTCCCCACATGGGCACAATGTGTTAAGCCCATTTCTGGTGTCCCCCGCCGTGATATTGCTGGAATATTGCTAAAAGCGGCATAAAACTAAACTCAGTCAGTCAGTCAGTCAGGTTCGGTTTCATCATAGAAGCAAACAGTTGTTTTGTGTTCCCATGGTATGAAATTGATGAATAACAGTTAAAATATGGGAAGATCCATATAAAAGCTGGTTTAATCATTCGCAGCCCTCGGACATCCCTGGGTTTATAGGGTTCGACTGAATCCAAGAACAAAGCCTCTCTCCCAATCACACAACTCCATGAGCTGAAACTTGGGTTGAAATTGTACAATTGTATTACGTCAATTGAAAGTTATAAATAAAAAGTGAATGTATTAAGAAAGAAATCAGACTTGCATTTGAAAGCCTATAAGTTTTTAAAACATATGAACGGTAGGGAAATAATCGTAATGAAAGAGTGAAAAATAGTCAAACTGTGGTAACAGTGTGTTGGAGATGTACAGATGTACAGAGATGAAAAGAAGCCATCATGCTCCTTGGAATGATCCATATATGTTTGACAAGAAGTTTGCCCTTGCACATAGGGTTTGTGCAATACCATTACATGGGGATCAACCCATTCTCTTCTCCTTTTGCAGATTTGGACCGGTCAGGGTTATTTTCATATTTAATGGTGTTACACCCCAAATCTCATCATATCTTATATGTAGCTATGGTATATTAATGTTCTTTCTTGCAGAGTACGAGATCGTCACGGTGACGGGAGACAAGAGAGGAGCTGGTACTGATGCTAATGTGTTTGTGAGGATATTTGGTAAAACTGGCTCTACAGGCAAGTTCCACCTCCGGAGCAACGTGAAGTCAACATTCAAACGCAACAGCAGCAATTCATTCCGCGTCAGTTCCACCTGTGTCGGACCACTCAGCAAACTCAGGGTGGAGCACGACAACACAGGTCTCGCAGCAGGCTGGTTTCTGGAGAGGGTGAGTTGTCTCCCTTTGTCTTTCACCATTTAAAAAAAATATTACCAGATAAAACACTTTCTGACTTTGAACATTTGTAAAGTAATTAACTGGAAGAAAAGGGAAGGTGTCAGTTTGAGATTGTCCAGGAAATACTACCTTTCTGTGCAGAGTTGCTTACCTTGGCTGTGCCAGTATCTTCAGACTTGTGCTTTTGAGTTTAGCCAAAGTAGATAATGGACTGATCTCCAATGTTACAGTGTCAACTAGTGCAAAGTATTTGTCAATTTCTACCTCAGTCATAGCTTCATCGAATTCTATTGATTTGCCTAACAATAGTGTGAATGATGTAATTTCAGAACATTGAGGCATCAGATCCTTTTTATCCCCCCGGCATGTAATGCAGGGGTATATAGTCGACGCCTCGTCCGTCTGTCTGTCCGTAATCATTTTGTTTCCAGAGCATAACTCAAAAACTGTTCTATATTTTTCATCAAAAATTGGTAGAACCTAAGGTGGTGCCTTTTGCTGTTTATAGATTTTTGTCATTTTTATTTTTCTCAGTTTCCATGGAAACATTTTGGACTTAGTCTTAAAGGGAGGGGTGGGCTTCGTTTCCGGAGCATAACACAAGAACCATTTAATATTTTTCAACAAAACTTGGTAGATATATCAAACAGAACCTTAAGTGGTGCCTTTTGCTATTTGCAGATTTTTGGCTTTTTTATTTTCCCCGGTTTCCATAGAAACGATTCGGACTTCGGACTTCGTTTCCGGAGCATAACTCAAAAACAGTTCCATATTTTTCTGCAAAACTTTGTAGATATATCAAACAGAACCTAAAAAGGGAGGGGTGGGTTTTGTTCCGGATCACAACTGAAAAACTGTTCAATATCTTTCTACAAGACTTGACAGATATATCAAACAGATCTTGAGGTATTGCTATTTGCAGAGTTTTGACATTTTATTTTTAATGATTTTCATGGAAACAATTTGGACTTAGTCCAAAAAAGTCAATTTGGACTTTAAGTAACTGTCAGTTGATTTGTTCTTTCAAATTTATGGGGGCCGGGGGGATTTGTCATCTTCTGATGACTTGTTATTTTTACCACCTAGCTGGAGCCCTTTTACACAGATATGCATCATAGGTGGCTGAATTTAATAAAGTCCCCGACTCCGAGATGGATGGATGGAAGGGTGTTTGGATCAATGGATGGATGGATGGTTGGTTGGATGGATGGATGGGTGCTAGGACAGATGGATGTGTGGATGGATGGATGGCATATCATCATACCCAGATGACACAGGACATTGTCTGGCTACGACATACATGCTTACAGTCCACCATCACAAACCTTAAGTTAATCTGACTGTGGCAAAAAAATAAACACACAGTAAAAACAGCCATCACAAATGAATTCTCTTGTTCCAGGTAGTGGTGACCGACCTCAGGAACCCCAAGTGGAAATATTTCTTCCCCTGTGGTCAGTGGCTGGCTACGGATGAAGGTGACGGCTCCATCTCCCGTGACCTCGTCGGCAGTCGGGACCCCATGGCCATCAGAAAAGGTGGGTGCCAGGTGTAGATTTTACCAGTGCTTCAACCACTGTCAGCACCGTGAGGGCACCTGCTGGGGAGATGGGGCATTTACACTAGTTTATCATTGGGCAAACATGGGTAGTGTGTATGAAGTGTGTACATATCGTGTATGTACTGCATACATAGTGTGAACAGTTACAGTAATATTGCTATAGGTAAAGACAATATTGAAATAATGCAATATTGGTACAACTATTGCCATAGTACTTTCATAGTTTGGTAACATTACCACATCAGAATTAGGTTTACCTTGCATAATTTTATATTATTGTATTACTAAATGAATTTACCAAATACTATTCATCTAATTCCAAGGAACATTACTTTAGGTGTTATGGGAGCTAGTTGTCTATCTTTCAGATATTTCTTTAGAGTGAGTGAGTGTGTATGTGAGTTTGCAGACATTCATTCTATCATTCATCATAAGGGCAGTTGGGTAGCTTAGTGGTTAAAGCTTTTGCTTGTCACTCTGAAAACCCGGGTTCAATTCCCCACATGAGTACAATGTGTGAAGCCCATTTCTGGTGTCCCCTGTTGTGATGTTGCTGGAATATTGCTAAAAGAGGCGAAAAAACACACTCACTCACTCACTAGGCTTTTGTCAGTGTTGAGGGTTGTTGGTGTTCATTGTGAGACAGTCTATGTTTTTGTATGGTGTAGGTGAGGGTTTGTTATCAGATCGTGGGGAGGGGAGGTTTTGGAGGGAGAGAGGGCTGGGAGTTGATCATTAAAGATGGAGCTATAGAAAAGGGAGATAACTCATCTAATCATGGTGATGAATCCATTTGATATTGCCCAGCGTTGATAATGTCAAACTATGGGTTTGATATGAATAATTTCCCTCCTTTCTCCAGTGGGCAAGTACAAGGTGACTGTGTTCACCGGCAATGTGAAAGGTGCAGGGACCGACGCCAATGTCTACCTGACCATGTTTGGAGAGAATGGAGATTCAGGAGAGAAACCGCTCAGGAAGTCGAGGAAAAACAACTTCGAGAGAGGAAAGTGAGTGATCCTTTGGATTGATATTGGTAATAAATATTAGGAATAGCATTAGGATTGACATTGGGATTGATATTGGGTATGACTAAGTGTGCCATTAGGATTGACATTAGGATTGATATCAAATCTGACTAGGTGTGCTGTTAGGATTGACATTAGGATTATATCAAATCTGAGTAGGTGTGCCATTAGAATTGACATTAGGATTATATCAAATCTGAGTAGGTGTGCCATTAGAATTGACATTAGGATTGATATCAGGTCTGACTAAGTGTGCCATTAGGATTGACATTAGAATTGATATCAGGTCTGACTAGGTATGTCATTAGGATTGACATTAGGATTGATATCAGGTCTGACTAGGTGTACCATTAGGATTGACATTAGGATTGATATCAGGTCTGACTAGGTGAGCTGTTAAGATTGACATTAGAATTGATATCAGGTCTGACTAGGCGTGCCATGAGGATTGACATTAGGATCGATATCAGGTCTGACTAAGTGTACCATTAGGATTGACATTAGGATTATATCAAATCTGACTAGGTGAGCTGTTAGGATTGACATTAGGATTGATATCAGGTCTGACTAGGTGTACCATTAGGATTGACATTAGGATTGATATCAGGTCTGACTAGGTGAGCTGTTAGGATTGACATTAGGATTGATATCAGGTCTGACTAGGTGTACCATTAGGATTGACATTAGGATTGATATCAGGTCTGACTAGGTGCACCATTAGGATTGACATTAGGATTATATCAAATCTGACTAGGTGAGCTGTTAGGATTGACATTAGGATTGATATCAGGTCTGACTAGGTGTACCATTAGGATTGACATTAGGATTGATATCAGGTCTGACTAAGTGTACCATTAGGATTGACATTAGAATTGATATCAGGTCTGACTAGGTGTACCATTAGGATTGACAGGATTGATATCAGGTCTGACTAAGTGTACCATTAGGATTGACATTAGGATTGATATCAGGTCTGACTAAGTGTACCATTAGGATTGACATTAGGATTGATATCAGATCTGACTAAGTGTACCATTAGGATTGACATTAGAATTGATATCAGGTCTGAGTAGGTGTACCATTAGGATTGACATTAGGATTGATATCAGGTCTGACTAGGTGTACCATTAGGATTATATCAAATCTGACTAGGTGAGCTGTTAAGATTGACATTAGAATTGATATCAGGTCTGACTAGGTGTACCATTAGGATTATATCAAATCTGACTAGGTGAGCTGTTAAGATTGACATTAGAATTGATATCAGGTCTGACTAGGTGTACCATTAGGATTGACATTAGGATTGATATCAGGTCTGACTAGGGATACCATTAGGATTGACATTAGATTTGATATCAGGTCTGACTAGGTGTGTCATTAGGATTGACATTAGGATTGATATCAGGTCTGACTAGGTGTGTCATTAGGATTGTCATTAGGATTGATATCAGGTCTGACTAGGTGTGCTCTTAGGATTGATATCAGGTCTAACAAGGTGTGCCATTAGGATTGACATTAGGATTGATAGCAGGTATGACTAGGTGTTTGGATTGATAATTGATTTGACCTTACGACTAATATAAGGATAGAAAATGTTGCCATGCTGTGGTTTTATTAAATTTTCAGATGAATATCTCGTACCTTATAAACTTACATCTTCGTGTCTGGTAACTTTCAGGAAAGATGAATTCATCATTGAATGTCCACGCCTTGGTCGCCTGGAACGGTTGCGAATTGGTCATGACAACTCTGGGTTTGGGCCTGGATGGTTCCTGGATAAGGTAGGCGGGAAACTTCCACAATTTTGTCTTGAATTAAAATTGCAGGGTCAGTGTTGAGAAAGTCTGCCAAAAATACCTTTTATCAATATCATAGAATCATTTATCATACATTGACATTTCCATCTGTTATGATACTTACAATAATAGACCCGTGAAGATCCGGGTTAGAACTGATCTTCAGTAACCCATGTTTGTTGTAAGAGGCGACTAACGGGATCGGGTGGTCAGGCTTGCTGACTTGGTTGACACATGTCATCGTAACCCAATTGCATTGTGTAATCAATACTCATGCTGTTGATCACTGGATTGTCTGGTCCAGACTCGATTATTTACAGACTGCCGCCATACAGCTGGAATGTTACTGAGTGCGGCGTTACACAACAACCAAACAAAACCTACAATAATACTTTGTCCTGGAAGTAAAGTCACCTTCTCCATCTCCAGTATTGTTTGAAACAAAGATTTTTTAAAACGGATTATCCAGTCAAATCTAATAGCAAATATGATACTTCTTTATTTAACGTGTCGGCCATCTTGGACCCTATTTTGATTTATAAAATGATTCATGGCTGGTTATTATGAGAAACCAGTTCATGAGGATTACTTACACCAATGTTTAGTTTGAACTATTATTCTGAACATTGAGTCTGCTGAGCTCTGCAGAAATTTCACTCATAAAAATAATCAGTTTGGATTAGATCAGCTGTGTATATATATGTATTGAAAAAAGCATCCTCATAATAGGAAGAGCTATAAAAGTCAAGTAGAAGAGAATGAGCCAGAAGACTGTTATTTACGAATGTTCTTCTGGAAAGGTTTGCCCTCAATGGTGTTCCCAAGTTTTCAACAGTTCACTAGGATGAATTACTTGATAATGAATCACTGTTTCATTCATACTAAAAGGGTGCAGCTGTGATTGGACAGCCAGTTTTAGCGGTTTGTCATTCAAACAAAAACAAAACAAAGCTATATCAGAATGAGTCTGATAATGTAGATGAGTTGCACTTGATAATCCTGGATGTTTCATCAGAAGACAACTATTTCATGGGAGTCATGTGTACGTGCAGATTTGGTCTGGAAGTAGAGTTATTTCCACCTGCATAGTGCTCTCCTTGGAAAAAAGGCTAGTTTATTCTTCTGCTATCATTAACAAAACAGACTAAACACAAGCCAGTCGTTTACTCCTCGGAAACCGGAAGTAGGAGGAATGTTGAGGAGAACAGAGAAGACAGTCTCATCAAATCACCAGCTTCATCTGAGATGAGGCCTATGGGTATTTCATGTTTGTTTTTCGGGTTTTTGCCATGGCAAATGAAAGATCCTTGAAAGCAGTTTTGGAGAATGTTATAGAAATTATCTGGTTGATGTTTAGGTGTGTCATGAATTGTGACCACAATGGTATTTGCCTAAAACTATTTATCTTTGAACATTTTCGATGAACAATATAGTCTTTTACGGCCTTCACAATAAAGGTGTTTGTCGCTGAGTTACGATTGTTTTGATTTGTTTCTGGTTTATTTTGATAGTTAGACTTTGTTTAAGTTAAAGAATTAGAATTAGAAATATGTGATAATATATTCCAGCTGTTGTGTATGGAAGCTGAATAGACATACTTATTTCCTTATCAGGGTTTGTGAATCTTTAAGAATCGGCTGAAGACTCCATAAATATATATCCTATACTGAAATCATAGTGAGTGGACATAATGAGCACTGATCTACTCAATTTATACAGAAGTGGCAGATAGAATAAACTGATGGGTCTCTCCCACTTATAGTTTAGTCGAAATGTGTATAACAAACTAGGATTATAACAAACGGAAGTTAGTGGTCCCGTTGAGTGTGTTATAGGCATAGTTTGTGTAGTTTCTTCAAACAATTTTTCAGTTGCGTAGATCTATGCTCATGCTGTTGATCACTGGATTGTCTGGTCCAGACTTGATTATTTACAGACCGCCACCATATAGCTGGAATATTGCTGAGTGCGGCGTAAACTAAACTCACTCACTCACTCATACAATTTTTAGTTAGCTCACCAGGTCTGAATGATGTCCAGAAGCATAGTGAAAATGTGAAATCATTCATAGTTTTGAAATTAATATTCATGTTAATGTTTTAGTGGAATAATTATTGTGAAGAATATTTCTGAATCTTCCAAGGAACCACAAGGTATCAAAATGTGAAGCATTGACATCATGTGTTGAACACAATGGGATTGTTTGTTGTTTAACACTGCACTCAGCAATATTCCAGCTATATGTCGACGGTGTGTAAATAATTGAGTCTGGACCAGACAATCCAGTGATCAACAACATGAGCATCGATCTACGCAATTGGGATATGATTACATGTGTCAACCAAGTCAGCGAGCCTGACTACCCGATCCTGTTAGTCGCCTGTTAATGTAAGCATTGGTTGCTGAAGACTTGGGCCTAGATTTTCGAAGCTCTCTTAACGCTAAGATAGTCGTAAGTACCATACATTTACATTAACTTACGACTATCTTAGCGCTAAGAGAGCTTCAAAAATCTAGGCCCAGATCTTCGAAGGAGACAATGGGAATGAATTTGATCATAACAGTAGAATGAAGACCAGTCTGATAAAAACATGGCTTTGAAATTTGTTTTCATGGTGTTCCTTTAATGTTTTCTGCACTGAAAGTTTACGAGTTTATTAAGTTTATCTTCTGAGCTGCATCTTTGTCATACATTTGATGAAAGTGAAAGTGAAAACCTGAAATCAGAAACGCCTATTACCACATTTCAACTAAATATTTACCTCAGCGGCTCACAGGAAGTCACTGTCTATAGGGGGCGCTGTACACATGGTAGAGAATCTCACTGCTCACGCCCTTTCAATATTTACGGAAATGAGTGCAGTGTTTATTCCTAATGATGAAATTCAAATATGGCAGAGATCATTGGTTGTGTTTGTCTGGCAGAGAGTAACTGGAACACAGGCCGGTGGAGTTGATGCGAGTTCCGCATTATTTTCCCTTGCCTATCCCTCCCTGCATTATTTTCCTTCTGCCTAGCTCCTTTTCTGCAATACCGGAAATTATGTTAACCGGTATTTTGCAATTCGAATGTCACAATACGATATATTGCGGTACACTTTTCACGAACCGGTTCACCTGATACAATCAGCAATTTCTGTGACCATGATCGGTAATTTTCATGATGTAGTGAAAAATGCAAATAATATTTGTATTTCCTTTATATTATTATGCATAAATAGTCTTGAGAATATTTATTGGTCATATAGTTGCATTTATCTGACTTTTCAACCATATAATTAAAAACAAATAGATTAGTACCGGCACTGGCTGAAGGGATAAACAAACCAAAATGGCGGATGCCTCTACAAACGCTTTTTCTCAAGTTCCAAACTTTGGAATGAAGTCTTCGATTTGGAAACATTTTCAATTGATCTCTTGTACAATCACATCTGAGTCCTGACAGTGGCCATTGGCATTGTTTCAAGAGAAATGAAACAATAATTTCATTACCTTAATCTGTGTTACACGTTCATAATATATTGCAATACATATTGAAATAAGCCAAATTTCGGCCAATACAACACATGTCGCAATATATTTCAATTGTGACAATGAAGTAGAATCTGATACAAAAATGACAGAGATGACCTGTGTCATGGTAACAGGATGTTGTGGCAACATTTCCATATTTGTCTGTATGTCTGACTCTCCATATCTGACCCCAGTAGGGTGCTTCGTGGCTGTTTGTTTGTTGTTGAGGGTGACAGTGTGTGCTCCATGACCCCAGTAGGGTGCTTCGTGTCTGTTTGTTGTTGAGGGTGATTCGTGTCTGTTTGTTGTTGAGGGTGACAGTGTGTGCTCCATGACCCCAGTAGGGTGCTTCCTGTCTGTTTGTTGTTGAGGGTGACAGTGTGTGCTCCATGACCCCAGCAAGGCTGTGTATGACTTCACCAAGCTGTTCCTGATGATGTGCCAGACTTTGTTCACATTTTATAATCATGGAGAATCTACAGATGACACAGACAGTTAGATCTCAACAGCATGACTAACACTAACAGAAGACGGTAGCACCTCCCAGGGGATTGCCAAAAACGTAATACTCCAAAATAATTTGTTTGATAAAGAAACATGTTGTCCAACATGGCAGGGCAGTTTCTAAACATCTGAATTTTGATTTTGTTAATGGTTGAGGAATTATTACATTTTTCCATCCTTTACTGAACTGGAAAGCAATTTTGGTTGTATGTGAAGAATTTGCAAAGCCCTCAAACTGATGTCATTTATTTCCTAGATATTTTCAGTAATGGATGATAGCATCTCTGAATGAATGATGTCATAGATGGACTGACTGATCTCAATAGCTCTATGACGTCATTAATGGTGTAATGACATCAATAGCTCTATGATATCACCAGTAGCTCTATGATATCACCAGTAGCTCTATGACGTCAGGTGGGCGGTGGGGTAGCCTAATGGTTAAAGCATTGGCTCGTCACGCCGAAGACCCAGGTTCGAATCCCCACATGGGTACAATGTGTGAAGCCCATTTCTGGTGTCCCCCGCCGTGATGTTGCTGGAATATTGCTAAAAGCGGCGTAAAACTAAACTAAACTCACTCACTCACTCACTCATCCATGTACCCATGAGAGGGACACTATGATAAATTCACATTTTTTCTATTGTTGCACTTAAACAAGCTATATTATCATGTTTTCTCATTTGTCTGATGAAAAACAGTATATCTGGCAAGTGTTTATAAACATTGTCCATGTATCTGTAACAAATTTGGTCCTGAGTTCACTTCTTGACTCTGATGAGGTACAAGTTAGTCAGTCTACCATAATTACTCAACTACCGAATGTGGTTCCAAGCAATCATCACTGCCCTCCTCCCAATAGTAAAACAAGGAACCGTCACAATATTTAGTCAGTCCTGTCATGCTGTTATCACAAGGGATGGTCTAGAGGAAGATAACAGCTGGATTATCTCCCCTAGCCAGCTGG